TACTGCAGTCTTAAATACTTCACTCCAAAGTGACTCTGATAAGGTAGAATGACATATCATACTCCTTACCATGTCTTTAAGCGTTCTATTCCGTCTTTCATAGTGGGTGAACCCGACATAGTGTACTGTGGGACGATACCGCATTTCTCTAAGTATTTAGCAAATGATCCTGTACATTGTTCATCTGAACCGTCATATCTATCATAGTACTCACCACCACGGTCAGATCTGACGCTTTTAATTCTTTTGTTGAGTTGATTCTCAATTTCAGCTTTAAAATTTTTGAACACGTCCAGTGACTGTGACTTTTCTGAAATGAGATATATGTAGTCATATCTTGAAAAATCGTCTATGAACATTATAAAATATTGTTGACTATTCTGAGCAGATGTAGAAAATGGTCTACAAATATCTGTATGTATAAGTTCTAAGACGTCTAAGGACCTATTGGTTTCAAATCTCCTTTTATTGGTTTGTTTCCCCTTTATACAGTTAATACAATCATTAAAATCTATAAAATTCAAGGGGTCGAGAATTTCATTTGACACAAGTCTTTCCATTGTCCGTTTGGAGATATGTCCCAATCTCTTGTGTCATAATGCAATTGAATTCTCATTGGCTAATTGTCTCTTTACTCCTCTAGTACTCAAATGCAGAGATTCATTAAATGAGACAATCGTATCAATTAAATATAGATTATCGTAGTACATTAAAGAACCAGAACTAACCAATTTTGAATCACGAAATAATTCAAATTTTCCATTTCCAAATGAACAAAAATAACCAAATTTGTCCAAAGCAAAAATAGAAATTAAATTCCGTCGAAAAGACGGTACAACAAATGTTTCATTAAGATCCAAATAAAATCCGATCTTTAACAATAATCTAAAAACTCCAATTGCCTCAACTTGAACTGTTTTGCCATCGCCCACGTAGATATATCTTTCATTATCATTAGACTTTCGGCAATTCAGGCAACCCTGCATAGACACACTGATATGAGTTGTTTCACCAGAATCTAACCACCATGTGTGTCTAGGTACCGAAATTAAATTAACTTCAGAACAAACTAAATTAAGAAGCATACTTTCTTAGCACGCCAAGCGTGATAGTTGGTGCAATGCTTTTTTTATGTCCTTCAGTTCCACAGAAGAAATAACTATTCTTTCTCTGATCATCTGATTTCTTTTGTTGTTTCTTTTGTGGCGCTGTACCTGCAGCTTCTTTTTTCTTCTTTCTCTTAAGTCCTTTACTTTTATTATTAGTGGTTGATATCAGATGGGTACTTTCTATCTGGTCTTGTTTCAACCTTTCCTCTTGCTCTACACAGTGTGAAATGAGTTTATTTAGAGACCAAGTCTCCTTTTGACAGTTATAACTCACCTTAAACTGGCTAAACTATGTAGGAAGAGATATTAAAATCAAATGCACTAATAACTCTTCAGAGAGTGTCAATTTAAGTGCATTTAATTTTGAAACAAGATGAGACATTTTCATAATGTACTTTTTGATATTACCTTTACCACTAAATTTTATTGAAACTAGGCGAGTCAAAAGCGTACTAATTTCAGTCTTTTCGTTCTTGACAAATCTTTTTTCAATGTCCTAAAGGAACTCTTTAGCGGTTACTGTCGTTTCTGACATTGTTCCTCTGAATGCTTTTGGAACGGCCTTTTTAATGATCATCAGACACAAGCAATTCGATCTCTCCCACCTCTCATTATTTTTCTTTTCATCAGAGGTACTCTGATCTATAAGAGGTGGGGAAGAATCATCCCTTAACGCAAGGTCGAGATCCATTATTCCAAGTATTATCAAGAGATTTTCTTTCCAAGATTTGAAATTTGTGCCATTCAACATAGGAATATTATTGATGTTGGTAGTAATACTCGTAAGATCATTTACAACTGAACAGAAAACATAATATAATTAAAACTATGCTCACATAAACCAAAAAAATAATAAATTTAAATAAAGGTAACCTCATCTCAAGATACCGATGTTCCATTAATATTTTCTCTTTGGACAAAAATATTAACTTTTAAGTGATATCTTGGTATAGTAATAAATACTGATAATAATAACATGTCAAAAATAAATTTTCCTTTGGGCTAATTTATAAATCACATGTAAAATCTAAATAATTATCATGTATTTATTACCACAAGTGCACATGTAATTTATTAAATATTGACCTTCCTTTGGACCGATCAATATTCATAAAATTACAAGTACCAAACTAGTTATATTTTAGAACAAATTAATTTTCATAACAAAGGTCACTTTGGTGGCATATTATTTCAATTAATTTATTCTAAAATATATATAATCATACCAATATTCAAATTTAAAATTACACAAATAAAACAAAATTTTTTTATCAAAGTCAACTTTGGTCAACTCTGGTCAAAACGGCCAATTGGATCAAGACTTATTGGACCAAAGGTCCATATCCATAATTTGACCCAATTTATTTTTCAAGCCCAAAATTTTCTTGAAATTCATAATGTCTTATAAAAGTGTTAAAAACATAAAAGCCCCCTGTGGTATAGTTATTACACATAAAAATTCCTTGTGATTTCAAATCATACCTATCGGTACCCCATGATTTGAAAGAAAGTGCATTTTCGACGGAAATCGTTAAAGGAAATGGAGGTCAGTGAAAAGACATAAATACCCTAACAATATAAGCGAAAAATTGGTGAAGGAATTAGTCAGTTTGGCTGTTTCAGAACAAATGAAGAGAGAGACAAAGAAGAAGAAAAAGCCCTAGAGAGAGAGAGAGAGAGGCAATTATCAGCCAAATTCTCGATTGTTATAGCAATCAAACTCCGACAGCGACAAGAAATACAAGGAAGTGAAGATTTGCTGAAAAAATCGAAGAAAAATGGGTTCGTATGCCGTCCCTCATCTATTTCGATTTGGGGTTTAGGGTAGTTTGTGATTTTTATTGTGATTTACTGGTTTCATACTACATTTTAAGGTCATTATTTAACAAAAATAAGATTTTTGATATATATATTAATGTTGTTAATGAATTTAAGGTTTTTGAAATATGCCCCTACATTTGCTATTTTGATTATCAATTGGCAAATTTGTTAGGATATTGTGTTTGGTTGACTACGAAAAAGAAAAGCCTTATAATCTGGAGTTGTTAGTGGAGATTCTTAGTTGCTGAATCTGAATATTTGATTGTCTTTGAATCTTAGTCAACTAAGTTGTTCGTCTTTGAATCTGTTGTACTATCGAATTGGAGTAATTGGCAGAAGACTGAATCTGTCCAAATTTGTATCGTTATCAGTTTTTAGGAGTTAATGAAAACATGTTGTAGTCAAATGTGGTCCCCCATCTCACATATAATGAATTATTTGTTCTGGATCTGTTGTATTATGTTAGCTTTTTGTATAATTGTGAAAGATAAATTGCTGAAAAATGAGTACTTTATTGTTTGTCATGCAACAGCAGAGGAGAACAGCAAGGATAAAGTAGACATAAAGATATACTTTGATGAAAAATTCAAAGAAAAACCAAGTCTCCACTACACGGGAACCCACATGGCTATTTTCAAAGAAAGAGTTGAAGATAAGGTAGACATAGTGAGTTTGTGTAGAATGTTTAAGAAAGTAGATGAAGGAGCAACGGGAGCAATGTTTTGGTTTTGTGCCCCCTTTGTTGATTTGGATGGTGGCCTACATCCAATTAGAAACAATGATGATATTAAATTGATGAATTTAGCATATGAGGGGACACCAGAAAGACTAATTTATGCTTGCAGTGGGGATGAGCCATTTGAGAAAGAGCCTGAAGATGGTGGGGTCAATGATGGTACATCTACAAAGGAAACATCCAACGACACAACAATAAAAAAGAAAGGCAATGATACAAAGGATGGTGGGGTATCTATAGTTACTATAGGGACAGATACAAGTGTTGATGATGATGAAGAGCCAGAATGGTTAAAAGAGGGGTTAGAAACAATAGAACATGAGGACATATTTGCACCCAAGAAAGATGCCGCAGGAGACAACAACCAGACCAATATAACTAGTAGAGGCAACAACCAAAAAGCTGATGGAGACAAGGACAAAGCTGATGGGGCCACTATTTCAGCAAGACTACCTCTGCACGTATTCTCATTTGCTGAGAATAAAGATGAAAAAAGTGCTGCTAAAAGTGTGGATGCAAGGAAGAAAAAGACAAGTAAAACCAAGCAATCAAAAGGGCCTGATGTGATTCAGAAAATTCCACCAACTATTTCAACTCAAATACCATCACAAATTCCATCAGAAGATGAAGCTGTTAGAACTGAAAAAGACCCTTCAACAGTTGGAGATCCAGATTTGAGAGCAGACACACAACAGCAAGTAAATGATGATGTCGTTGAAGAGAATTGGCAGGAACCAGTGATTTCGGATGAGAAGTTGTTGGATGCAAGAAGATGTGATGGTAGAGAAGATGATGATTGCCTTGACTTTAATCCTGAAGTTGAGTTTAAGAAGCCAAACTTTGAGCTGAAAGTGGGGCAGAAGTTTACTAATTTCAAAGTGTTCAGATTTGTGTCGCGTGAATGGCTAGTCAGAGAAGGATATGAAGTTACTTGGGTGAAAAACTACTCCAAGAAAATTATTGCCAAGTGTGCAAAAGGCTGTACATGGAGGATTCATGCAACACCAATTCAAGATGAATCAACCTTTCAAATAAAGTCATTGAAGGGTGAGCATGTGTGTGCTCGAGAGTATAAAAACAAGCATGCAACAGCTGCATATTTGAGCATCAAGTATCAAGATAAGATCAGGGATAATCCAAGAGGTGATTTGATGGGGCTGAAGAATGACATCAGGAGAGACTTAATGATCAATGTTTCAATTGCTAAGGTCGGCAGAGCTAAGCATAAGGCAAAGGATATGATGCTTGGCACGGACATGGAGTAGTATCAGAAACTTTGGAGTTATGCATCGACAGTCCGAGACACAAATCCTGGAAGTACTGTCAAGATTCAGATGGACAGACCAACTGAAGGTTCAAATGGGACATTTGAAAGATTATATTATTGCTTGCATGCATGCAAGCAGGGTTTTCTTGATGGTTGTAGACTAATAATTGGTCTAGATGGCTGTTTTCTTAAGACAGCATTTGGTGGCCAATTACTGTCTACACTTGGGAGAGATGGCAACGATAACATGGTGGCAATAGCAGTTGTAGTGGTTGAGGTAGAGAGGTATAACTCCTGGAAATGGTTTTTGGAGTTGTTAATGGCTGATTTGGGCATGGGAAAGGATGACATTCCTTGGACATTTATCTCAGATAGACAGAAAGGGCTAGTACATGTTGTGAATGAACTTTTTCTAGATTCGGAACATAGATTCTGCTTGAGACATATGTACCAAAATTTCAACCAAAAGTTCAAAGGAAAGGAAATGAAAGACATGTTCTGGGTTGCTGCAAGTGTTGGCAATGAAAAGGAATGGAAGGTGGCAATGAATGACTTGGAAAAGGTAAACAAAGAAGCTGCTGAATGGCTGAACCGGATTCCACCAACTCTGTGGAGTAGATCACATTTTAGAGGAAGTAGTAAGTGTGACATTCTAGCGAACAACCTAAATGAGTCATTCAACAATTATATATTAGAAGCAAGAGAGTTACCAATCATTGGGATGCTTGAATGGATAAGGAGGAAACTGATGCATAGAATTCAAACAAAAAGATCTGGAATGCAAAAGTTTCATGGACAAATCTGTCCAAATATAGCAGAAAAGATTGATAAGAATCAAAGGTTGAGCCGGACATTTGTTGCGACATGGGACGGACATCACAAATATGAGATAGATTGTGGTCCGAGAAAATGTGTGGTTGTTGATTTGCATGAATGGACTTATACCTGTGGTTATTTTCAACTAACAGGTTATCCTTGTGCCTATGCATGTGCTGCAATAGGAGTGTGTAGATTACCTATTCACAATTATGTTCATGCTTGCTACACTAGAGTAGAATATCTGAAGACATATGCACACACTATCACACCTATTCCAAGTGATACCTACTGGATAACATGTGAACAAGAGGGCTTAAACCCCCCTGCAGTTAGGAGAATGCCTGGCAGACCAAAGAAGATGCGTCAAAGAGCACAAGATGAGCCTAAGAAAGGCCAAATATCAACTAGAAAGGGTCTATCTGTGCATTGCAAGAGATGTTTTCAGCCAAACCATAACTCACGGACATGCAAGAATCCCATTCACCCTAACTCCAAATTTTAAAAGGTAATCTTTCATTGTACACTTAAATGGCATTGTTACAGCATTTGTATTTATTATTACTAATGTTAAATGCTCTTTGTAGGCACCTGAAGCAAGTGTTACAACTTCCATTCAATCACAGCCAATTGTTGAGTCATCTACTGAACCACAGTCATTTACTGAAGAGGCTGCTGCAACCGGAACTACTACAAAGACAAGCACTAAGGCTCGGAAGGTGTACACTCCTTCCATAACATTCACTGGTTGAAAGACTTATCAGTTCAGTGGGACATTTCTAAATTGTTTTTTTGTTTTAATTACAGTCTGTAGCTGGTACAAACCAAGGGTGTAACAGGGCTGATGACACCACTGCACCAACAAAAAGAGCTCTGGCTCGTAGTGTTACTGATGTCCTGCAGAAATTAAGGCCAAAGAGGGCAAAAGCTGTCCAGCCTTAATTACTTGCCTAATATTTGCCTATCTGTATTTAGACTTTCATTTTGGAATATTACGTCTGGTTGTAATGATGCCTGCAGAATGATTGGTTGCCTGCAGAATATCTGGAAATCTTTTGTCTAATTTTTTGTACACTTGACTTGGCAGTAGTTGCCACTATTTGGTTGTACCTTTTGAATGAAGTTCTCTGTGCAGCCAGGTTATTTTAAAGAAATTTTCCACCAAGTGCTAAACCTTTTGTCTGTAATGGCACTTTGTGCCTCTTTGATCACTAGTTATTTTACAGGTTATTGAACGTCTGGGAATCTTTTGTCTGTAATGGCACTTCGTGCCTCTTTTATTTTTTCTGTTCATTTTTCTAAAACATTTGCTGCTTATGAGTATTCTATTCAAAGTTTTAAGCTATAGCATTTTGAAAGCAGTTGAAACAGTCGAATTATACTTCATCAAGAAAGCATAGCATTACAAGGTTCTAGCTGAAACAGCCAAATGATCAGCTTTAGCAACTCCATACAACTGGCTACCAAATTCCACAGTCTTATTTGGTAGATATCAACAACAGTAAAACAGCAAAAGCAGATACCATAACACAACCTCGGACTAGAAATTTTAAGTTCTTCAACTCATTATCTAAATTTTCCAGTTTTGAGAGCACGCCATCCACATAGGAATGTTCTTCAACGGGTTGGCTCACAAACTAATTTTCCTGATCTGGTTCATCTCTGTAAATGGGATTACACCAAGAAAAGAACCTACATTCATCTTTTTCACAAACAAAATATAACATTCCCTTTGATGGCTTTTCCGACTCAACAATCTTTAGTTTTGCCTTCCTTCGACAATTACACATCTTGTACTTGTATCGAAGATCTCTAACTCCGTTTCCCCCACTGCCTGATCGAGAGCTTGAGGAAGACATCATCGTACGGTTTCTTAATTATTCCCTTCACTATTTACACAAAGAAAAATATAGAGTTCATTATAAGAATTTATTGATATTCCAAATGATTAAAGGTTTTATCTTTTGAAACTTGCACTTAAGGAGGCACGAGCCTGCAGATTTTCCTCCTCGATCTTAAGGAGGCACGAGAGCTTGAGCAATTCTTCGGTCAAAGAAGCTGGGTTGCTGCAAAATGCCGAAGAAGCTGATTGGCTTGAAGTTTTAATAAGTTGTCAAGGGCACAAGAGGTATATCAACTCAAACTTTGAGTTAAAAAACCATTTTCCGAAGCAACCACGCTCCTTTTCAGTGCGTGGTTGATAATCGCGTTTCCTTTAATGATTTCCGTTCAAAATGCACTTTCTTTCAAACCATGGGGTACCGATAGGTATGATTTGAAACTACAAGGGGTTTTTATGTGTAATAACTATACCACAGGGGGCTTTTATGTTTTTAACCCCTTATAAAACTATATATTTAGTGGGCCAAACATATGAACTTTATTGGGTTTAAATGTTTTATTTAACTTTATTAGGGTTTACATAAATTAGAGAAACCTTAATTTCCTTAACATAAATATATGCATGTTTATTCTCTTATACACCGAAACAAGTCAAAAGGAAAATATAAATCACGATTGAATCAACACAAGAAAATTGTGTACCCAAGATTTAAGACATAAACCATACAAATATATGGGTCCTAAGTATATTGTTTGTGCCTGACCATGTCAATAATTTACATGAAAACTCTCGATCATTTAAAGTTGAGTTTTTGACCACAGTAATCATGCGTATAACCATTGCCAAAATTACGAGGCATGTGAAGTTGAGCAACAAGCCAATCATACAATGAAGACAAACTAAGCAATCAAGAACATGTGCTAGTGGACTTCAACAGATTACGTGGCAAGGAAAAGCAACGGCCTCTCAAGTTTGGTATTCAAGATATAAACGTGTCAACTATAGTCAAGTGTTGACCCAATTCATGAATCATATGATGTAATTGGACAAAAGCATAAAGACTCCCATCAGCAAACAAGACTTCCAAAAATAAATGGCAAAGCAGAAACATGAAATCCGAAACACGAAGCCGTATCATAAAACAATCATGGAACTTGACAAAAGCCACGAAACAAAAAAGCTTTCAGCCGTGCAAACGAAACCTAAATTAATCATAAATATATGCATGTTTATTCTCTTATACACCGAAACAAGTCAAAAGGAAAATATAAATCACGATTGAATCAACACAAGAAAATTGTGTACCCAAGATTTAAGACATAAACCATACAAATATATGGGTCCTAAGTATATTGTTTGTGCCTGACCATGTCAATAATTTACATGAAAACTCTCGATCATTTAAAGTTGAGTTTTTGACCACAGTAATCATGCGTATAACCATTGCCAAAATTACGAGGCATGTGAAGTTGAGCAACAAGCCAATCATACAATGAAGACAAACTAAGCAATCAAGAACATGTGCTAGTGGACTTCAACAGATTACGTGGCAAGGAAAAGCAACGGCCTCTCAAGTTTGGTATTCAAGATATAAACGTGTCAACTATAGTCAAGTGTTGACCCAATTCATGAATCATATGATGTAATTGGACCAAAGCATAAAGACTCCCATCAGCAAACAAGACTTCCAAAAATAAATGGCAAAGCAGAAACATGAAATTCGAAACACGAAGCCGTATCATAAAACAATCATGGAACTTCACAAAAGCCACGAAACAAAAAAGCTTTCAGCCGTGCAAACGAAACCTAAATTAATCATAACCCTAAAAAAATATGAATTACTAAATTCAAATTATTTCTCAATAATCAACCATAATAGGCTCTGATACCACTTGTTAGGGTGGTTATTTATATTTGACCTTTGGTAAAAATCATCACCTATTAAACCCAAAATCTATATGGCGATTATTAAGAAATAAACTAACAGTAAAATAACGGAAGCGTACCTGGATTCATATCGACAAACTGGTATATGAATCTCTAAGGGTATTGGGGTGATTTTCTAGGTCAACACGTATTCGCCGATCCTTGAGAGAACCCTTCAGTATCTCTCTGGTATCTTTCCTGACGATGGGATATCAGAGAAGAGCTATATTTTGTGGTACTAGGGAAATACGACAAAAGAATGATCCGTGTGACCTGGAAACCATAACCCTATTTATAGATAACATTCCTATTATCTTTTGGAGCCCTATTTCAACTCATCATAGAAATAGGAGTCCTTAAATTTCTACACATTAAAGGCCCACATCCTATTAGATACATTAAGTCCAAACTATATTTGATCACTTTAATTGGACTTAACCTTATTTGACAGTTTGCAACTCATAATTATTCACATATAAGTCCAACGTTGGATTAAGGATCCAACACTCCCAACTCCTGTTTCAGCAAGCTCCTAATCTTCTCAATCAGATTCCAATATTGGCCATCGTCCCTTGCCTCATGTATCAGTGATAATGCCACTTGTCAATCTGGTTTGATGGATGATCACTTTATCACATCCTTCTCTCAGCAGAGTCTGCATACCCAATAGGATTGCCCAAAGTTCTGCAGCAAAGTTGCTTGCCTTTCCAATATTCGCACTGAATCCTGTCATCCATCTTCACTGTCCATTTCTGAATAAACCTCCCGCACTGGCAGCTCCGGGGTTCTGTACTGATGCACCATCCACATTCAGCTTCACTCATCCTTGAGTGGCTTTTCACATTTAATATACTTCATTTCCTTCGACCCTTGAATTCCCTGCTTCTGATTTAGCTCCTGTGCTTCAAGTGCCTGTAGCCTCAGGAAGTGTGGTTGCACTTTCATTTTCCTGTCTGTGGACCATATCGTTTCTTGCTGTCCATGCCCAGTATACAACTCGTTGGAATTGCATTGGCCAGTACACCTCTTCTTGATCCCTCATCACTCTTGCGTTGACATTCCAGTCTATCCACTGTATCAAGCTTTTAGATTTAAATTCTCTCCATTTTGCTGGATGTACCAGCTGCTTCCAAATTCTGCTTATCCATTCACAACCTCTCAACGCCTGTATTTCTGATTCTCTTCTAATCCAGCAGAGTGGGCACTTTCCATCCAGGTGCAAATGTCTCCTTTGCTTCTCTGCATTCATTAACAGTCTGCCATGCCTTATTAACCAGAGTAATTGAGTTTGACTCAAAATACACCTCGTCCGATTGACTTGCAAATGAGATATCCGACAAGCCACCAATTTATGAACATGAAAGTTGTGCTCCTACGCACCAAACATTCACACAAGTGAATCAAACTTTTACCAAGTCTATCAAGAAATCTATCAAACCTAGGTGTATTAATTAATTTTAGTAGAATATAAATAAAAAAAGGAGTTGAATTATAGCCAATCTACAATCATGAGCGAGGTTGAAGAAGAAGAAAAAAAAAAGGGTCAATGCCGAAACATGTAATCGAGGAAATTAGAAATACTACATAGGAGCTCATTGTGATTCTATGGATTTTGTGCATAGGTGTTGCGATTATAATCAAATCAGGAGAGCTCATTGCATTTTACCACAAAAGCAATCGTTTGCAGATCTCTTTAATCTTTTTCAAGAAATTGTACGGTTTTTTAAGGATTTTAGCACATAAAGAGTAAAGTTACGACTTAATGAGTTCCTTCATTTAAGGATTTGAAGGAATTTTTTCATACTTTGTTTAATCAATTACCTCCTCAGATAACTTCTTACCGAAAAAAAAACATAATCCTGTTTTCCGCTGATGATCCTGTTTCAAAAGTTTGTCCGTCAGCCATCTACTCAGATCAAAATATGTGAGTCTAAAAGACGAAGAAGCAGTGGCTCATGAAGGAGATTTAAGATGGAAAAGAACGAAAATGACGGGCAAGTGCATCTTCAGACTTCAGTTGACCAGCCCTTTGACTGTTGGAAAACTCATTTTTACCTGGCATAAAAACCTGAACGACAATGATATTGGTACTGTCCATGTTGATGCTCTAATAAATGAAAAATCTGACAAATTTTGTTAAACGAAATTAGTTGGTGCGGGACTTCTAACTTCT